TGGTTAACTGGTAAAGATAGAAAAAGGAAAACAAGTTTAAAATTTGCATGGAGGGATGGGCTGTTGTACACAACCCTACTAAAATTAGCACTTCAATTACACACTTGCAGAAAATGACTGGGAAGTTATTTAAAGTAGCAACAGAAATATCCCCTCTGCTCTGAACAATGAAATCCTGTCATTTCTTTTAAAGTGGCAAAACAAAAGTAGATTTCCCTCTTGAAAACACTGCCTAGAGGAGAGATTTTGCTGGTTTTTGATGGTGGGGGGGCAGGTCCTGTGTTTTCGCTGCAGAAAGAAAGCATTGCACAATCCCTTCCAGAAAGTATGAAAGATACGCTAAAATGATCATTCCGATTACTGCAATTGTTTCAGCTCCACCTCCTCTTTCCTCCTCTTTCACCAACTACAGGGCACATCAAAAGCAGCTTGGGGTTTATGTAGTGGTGTAATAAACAGAGGGTGTTACAAGAGCAATATTTGTGCCTTGAAAAATTACACTTCTTCTTTCAAGAGGCTTGTTCGACCACAAGTCCCTTTTTCACAAGTCGAAAAGCTCACTCCAAATTTTGCACACACACACCCCCCCGAGATCAACCTATATCCCAGTTTGATTAGAAGATCAAATATGTTTGCGGAGGTGATTCACACAGGCTAGTCAACTCCTTATCTGTTTTTGAACTTTGCTGTAAGTCGCCAAACATTAATTAAAAGTATATTAGCCACCGGGAAACTTAAAAATGTTTCAAATCTCATGGAGAGAATTCACATTCTTTGGAGTTGAAAGTTGACTGCCAATATTTCCTCAGACTCCCCATTTCAATGATTTAGAGTTTTTCAATTTCAACAATCTTCAACTCCCAGCATTCCCCAGTCCACAATTTCTTAAAGTTGCCGAGGTTGAAAGACACAGGTTTAAAACGTTTTAAAGAGTTTGTTAGACAAAGTGGGCAAACTTTGGGGCACATTTAATTTGGGGGAACAAAATGAGGATGCAAAAATGGTGACCCTCCTCACCAATGTCAACAGTGCAAGAGTTTTAAGATTACTTTTTTGGGATTGGCTGGCTGGGGAATTCTGGGACTTGAAGTCCACAGACCTTAAAGTTACCAAAGTTGGACATGCCTGTGCTATAGTGTTAGTATAGTATAAGTATTTCTGTACTCTCTGAACACTGCAAGTCATATTATGTTGCTATCAGCAAAAGAGTACTCATTGTGTTTCACATTTTGAAAATAGGTATTTAAAAGGCAAAACTGGAACGTTGACCCAATCAGACATTATCCAACTCCTAAATTCAAAGCTAATTGGTAATTTTCCATTGATCTTGGAAAAATTCAATCAGAGAAGATGCTTTTCTCATCACCCGTTTCCTTAATCCCTTGGAGTTCTCCTCTCTAAAATATTTAAGCTACATTCTGAGGTTGCCCAAATGAATAACAATGATGGCTGCTCACTACCAAATCAGGATTGCTTCTGGGGGTAGAGACTGATGTCTGTTTTATATAGAGAAGCAAAGGTAGATTCCCCTCGCACATGCATGCTAGNGATTGCAAAAAATAAAATAAAAGGATTTTGCTGATGGCCTTGAAATATAAGGATGTCAAGATGCCTGTCATTGTAAAATGTGTCATTTATTCCTTTAGTAGGGCCTTTTCCATTGGCAGGAATCCAGTTTGAAGTCATCTCTTCAGGAACATCTCTAGATGGTCCCAGGCCAGTCAATCGCAGCCCGACCTACCTCACAGGGTTCCTGTTGACAAGGACAATAATGAGATGTGCGCCCCTGGATACCATGCCACTACCTGCTTTGTGCATCCACGAGAGAGAGCAGGGAGAGGGAGGAAACATGAAAATAAATGTTGTTATTTTCATTTATTTTTTTTGCATTGGAAAGACTTTGCTTCTGACAATTAGTAGCTGTAGTTTTTGCAGCTTTTGCAGAGGAGCTAAAAAACCGTGTTTTGCAATTGTGGTGAACATCTGTAGCTCGGGGGTAAGATGGGGGTGAAGGTTCGTTCTCCGAACTTGTTGGGTTGGTTTGCGAATTTTTCTTTATCAGGCTAGGCAACATCTTCAGCGGATCTCCAAAAACAGGGGTCTTCAACCTTGGCAACTTTAAGACCTGTGGACTTCAACTCCCAGGAATTCTGGGAGTTGAAGTCCACAGATCTTAAAGTTGCCAAGGTTGGAGACCCCTGTCCTAAAGCTCCGCTGAAGATGTTACCTGGCCAGGTAACGAAACGTTCGCAAACCAACCCAACAAGCTCTGAGAACGAACCTTCAACCCACTCTTTCTCCTCCCCCCCCAGCCCCCAAACCGTGTTTGCTTGAGAGAGGCGAGAGAGCCATAGCAAGAAATTACACAAGTGTGAAATTATAAAGGCATGACTCACCGCGCTTTGTGTACGAGGTAACCGGGCGTCTCCGCCCGAAGGCAATCAGTGCTCGCCAGTGAACTCTTCTTCCACGCCAGCCTGACATCACCCTGGTGCAAGTTCACTCGCGCGCGGGCGGAGGAGTTTTGGTCGTTGCCATGGAGACAATGTTTTCCGCGGAGTCAGGAGGCGCGGGGATTGCAACGTGGAGTTCGGGAAAGTGGCCACGGAGGGCAACGTTGGAGGAATCTCGCGGAAGCTTCCAAGAAAACCCCGCATCCGCGCTAGGCGCTGCACGCACGCAAACACATATAACACAGAATGAGAGAGAGACAGAGTGAGAGACACACACAGAGAGAAAGAGAGAGACAGAGAGAGTGACAGAGACAGGGAGGGAGAGAGAGGGAGAGAGAGAGAGAAAGTGAGACAGTGAGAAAGACAGAGAGAGAGAGAGGGAGAAAGAGAGTGTGTGTGAGACAGAGACAGACAGAGAGAGAAAGAGAGCGACAGAGAGAAAGNCCTAAGACCATCGGAAAACACATATTTTCGATGGTCTTAGGAACAGAGACACCAATTTAATGGTTGGGGGTCACCACAACATGAGGAACTGTATTAAAGGGTCGCGGCATTGGGAAGGTTGAGAACAACTGAATTAAACAAAGAGGCTTAAAACTTGTTATAACTGTGGCCTAAACTCATTTGTTCCAAGGCTGTCGTTCAGATTGCCAATCGGTTTGCAAAGGAAGGGTATCAAACCATTCGGGACCTTTATTTATTGAGTCTCCAATTCAGATAGTTTGGTCCTGGATCTTCCCAGATTAAAGGAACGAGGAGCAGAATAACAAGGAGAGGCTTACTCCTGCTCCTTATGTCAAGTGTGAGGAAAACCAGGAGGGGAAGAATGGAAGTAAAGAAACAATATTCCCAAAAGGAAATTGCAGCATGAATCCAAGCGGGATACCAAGCTGTGGTAGGAAATAATTTTATTCAGGCACTGAGAAGTGAAAAACGGAGAGCTGGACGAGACTTTGTGTCTGCAATGCTATTGACAAGTGGCTTCAGGAGGATTTGGGGGGGGGGCGGGGGAGAAAGGACAGAGAGGGATCTTGGAATAAGAGACTTAATTCTCTATGTATCCAAGAAAGAGGTCTGCACAGTGAGATAAAGGGAGTCAAGGAAATGAAGGCACATGAATGGGTCCTCTCTACATTTCAAATATCATTACAGAAGAGAGAAAATGTGCTTGGATACCACATATTCACTCAGGTTCAGGGGAAAAATGGAAGCGTTTTCAGGATGTCCCATAGGAATGACAACCACAGGGTCATCTCAATATGGGCTGAGGGAGTGTGCTGTACCTGTCAGGTTTGAGAAGATGACGTCCTAACCAAAACGACAAAGACAGTTCTCTCACAAGTACACAACCACGAAACATCATCTTCCCACCCCACAACCCAGAAGGTATGGCACAAGAAATCAAGAACGGAAGACCAAGCAAGAAGAGAGTAGTTTACAGTGAGGAAAACCCAGAGTTTCAAAGTGGCCTCTCCCCAAGATAAATAATGGAATTCTTTTTCCAAAGTCAGGAATATTTTCTGTATAAGGCTATGAGGAGATGAACAAGCTGATCAACTAAGAACTAATTACTTTAGGAAAACAAGGCAGGGGGTTATATACAGTAGCCATAGACAAAACCTCCAGCATAATCCCAATATTCCAATTCCTTTGCCCCTTCTCTCCCTTTGTATGGAATCTCAAATCCCAAATACATACACACGTGCATATATGTAACCCTGAAACTTAGCTGAAGTTGACTCACAGAATAAAGCCCCATCTGGCTTCTTCCCTAAATCATGGGGGACCAACAGCTAAAATGGAAAGGGTGAAGTTAAAAGAAAAGTTTCCCATTTGCAAAGATAGCAGTCATTTGTGCACAATCGGTTGAACACCAATTGTTGCATTGGCATCTCTTCCTATTGACTGAACCCATGTCCCCCCCTCCCCCCTCCACATCTCTTCCCATCAACAAAACACATTTCAGAAAGACAGGCAAACACACACACAAGGGCAGCCGCAGTTCTGAACCAAATTATTATTATTATTATTATTATTATTATTATTATTATTATTATTATTATTATTATATTTTTTTCATCTGTTTTCCAGGTAGCGTACACACAACGGCCCTGCCCTTAGCCGCAACAGTTTCCCCTGGTTTCAGTATGATTTGGTGTTGGTTAAAAGATGCTCTCTTCTGTACAACAAAGCGTTTATGGTTAGAAACGAAACTTCTTGTTCAACAGAGCGCACTTTTGGTTAGAGAGAGATCTGGGCTCAGCAGGTTAACGGACTCTGCGCAACAGGTTTAATCAAAGGCATAAGGAGTCGCTTAATTTTGGCCTTCTCTCCTTACTAGCATCTCGGGAAAAGAACTCAGCTGGAATCCTCTTTTGCTCTCTGACAAGTTGGCTTTCTATAAATGGGGTAGGGCTTTTTCAGGGAGAAGCATCCTATCGTCTGAGCTTGCAACCTATGGTTTGATGAACGTCTACCCTCTAACTTATAAATACCTAAGGGGAGGGGGTTATTCTCTTAAGACAAAGCACAAAATGCACAAGAAAGGAACTCTGATGACGAGTTGTATTTCAGGCCACTGACCAACAGAAGAAAATTAAAAGAGACTTAATTACAGAATAAAAACCATCAATCTCTTTATGAAGGTCACACTTCTCCTTGAACCCAGAGGTGAGTGGCAACTTCGGTGACTGCGCTGCCCCTCGGCAAAAAAAAAGATGAAGTTTCGAGAGGCAGCTCCGTTAATTGCTACTGTTTTCCGCAGCGCAGCAAAATCTGGCAGTCAGTGGGATGGGGCCGATGCAAGTTCTCTTGCAAGCAACATTTTCAGCCTAGAAAGTCTAACTTAATTTAAAAACAAAATGAAACAAAAAGACTGCCGCCGTGAAGCCAAGCCCATCAAATGCAGTTTGCTCCTCGACGGTCAGCCCCGCAGGTAGCTGGAAGTCATGAAATAAAAACGGGACGGGTGGGGGGGAGGGGAGGAAAGGAAAGGAAAATGGCCCAAGGGCATCAGGGATCTAGAACAGGTACCAGGAAATAGGTCTGCTTGATGGCCACCCTTGCCTTTTAAGAAGTCGGCATGTCGGCCTTACTGAGTGCAATGGCCAACTCCAGGTCTTCCTGCTCTTGTCTTCGCAATCGCGCCAGCCTTTCCTGCTCTGCCTTCTCACTCTCCCGTTTGGCCCACGCCAACTGCTGCTCCTCATTGCCAAGCTAAAAGAAGTAACAAAAACGAGACTCGGTTAACAAGATAAGAGAGAAGAAAAAGCCCAGGGTGGTAGCAGTAGCAACAGCAGCAGCAGCAGCAGCAGCATTTGGGGACAGATTCACCTCCCACAACCCTCCATACCTGACTTGTATCAGTAGGAAGTAGGGAAGGGAAGAGGCCAAGAGTGGCCGGGAAACCTTTTGCTCTTGGCTAGTTCTACTCAAAATTCTCCACCCGTTATTTCTTCCAGGCATCGATTAACAATCCCCCCACACCTTCCCAGGACCTGCTTTCAATTTAATCCTGCCTCAATTGCTGTTTCTTCTGATCAGCGAAACAAATCCTTGATATAGATGGTCTAAGTCAGTGATGGCGAACCTTTTTCGGCTCGCGTGCCATAAGGGGGGGACCGTAGGGGGGTCGTGCTTGGGTGTGCCGCACCCATAATGAAGTGCGCAACCCCCCCAGCGTGCATGCACACATGACAGGCACTTCCCCCCCCCCATTTTTTGCATGCTTTTTTTGTCCTCCCCAAGCTCCAGAGGCTTTATAGGAGCCTAGGAAGGGCGGAAACAGCCTCCCATGCCCCCCCCCCAGGCCCTCTGGAAGCTTCAGGAGCTTCCCTGACGCCTACGGAACGTGAAAAAATGGCACTATGTGCAAACCGGAAGTTCAGGAACTGACTTCCGGTTTGCTCGTAGCATCGTTTTTCATCCTCCGGAGCTTTCAGGGAAGCCTCTGGAAGGCCCCTGAAGGCTCCAGAGGGCTTAAACCAGCCCTACGAGCAAACCAGAATTCTGTTCCTGAAGTTCCGGTTTGCCCGTAGGGCTGTTTTTTTTGCGCTCTGGAGGCTTCAGGGATGCTCCTGAAGCTTCTGGAGGGCCTCCGGGGTGAGGCTGTTTTCCCCCTCCCCAAGCTCCTATAAAGCCTCTGGAGCCTGGGGAGGGCAAAAAACGGCTTTAAAAAAAGCCGAAACTCAGCTAGCCAGTGCAACAGGGCAATGCCTCACGTGCCCTGACAAATGGCTTCGTGTGCCACCTGTGGCACACGTGCCATAGGTTCGCCATCCTGGGTCTAAGTAATCAAATGCTCTCTTTCTGACCCATTTTTGTATCATTGGTCCAATTCACCTGTTAACCAATCAAACCAAAATGCTCTCTAGCTTGGGCTTTTAACATCTTTTTGACTTGAACCCTCTTGCCTACTAATTTTTCATTTTCCTTTATGGCCCCAAACTCTTCTACATATCTTGCTTGATATCTTGCTTGATACTAGATCTCCCTATCACCTCTGAATCTTACTGTTTTTTTTTATGTTGGAGTTATGTTAAGATCCTGCACTATAATTACATAAAATAACTCTTTTGCATAAAGTAACTTTGAATTACAGTAGACTTAGCAAACAATTTAAAAAATTGCAAAACCCAACGTTTGTATCTTGTAAGAGAGAATCCCCGACAAGGGCCCATGAATCTAGGATCAGGCCAAAGATTGCTCTTAACATTGGGGCAGGATGGCTCATGGCTTGGATGGCAATGTTGTGCATGTGTTTGGTCTTTTAGCCATAAGAGCCAGTTTGGTGTAGTGGTTAAGGTGCTGACCTAGAAACAGAAGGCTGTGAGTTCTAGTCCTACTTTAGGCAGCTGGGTGACTTTGGGCCACTCATTAGGAGATTGAGTGTTCTAGTCTCACTTTTGGCATGACTAGGAAGCTGGCTAGGCCACTTGGGGTCAGTCACGCTTTCTCAGCCCATCTCACAGGGTTGTTGTTACGGGGAAAATAGGAGGAAGGAAAGAGTTACTTATAAAGCAAATAAAAGGTGGGATAAAAGTCTAATAAATACATAATAAATAAATGTGGCTTGTGTTAGGTACAGGTGATACTGCAAAATGTTAGTGGATTCTCAGCAATCATAACCAGAGAGATTAAGAACTACTCTTAGAGACCCCACAAGTTTCCTTCTCTGCTGTGTGGGAAGGGTCCCAAAGGGTCTCGTTCAGATTCAAAGTCATATCTGATACAGGCTACAACTATGAACATTGTTGCCGTCTTCATTTTCCATTACAAGCTGGTATTAATGGAAGAAGAAAGGGAAAAACGCACACAATGTCATTCTAACAAGAATTAGGGAGCATGGGATGAGAAATATTTTGCGGCCCGAGACCAAAATTCTGCCAGAAAGGCAAAACAGAGGATGGAGGGATGGATGAACAATCTGGTATAAAAGCAGTAGTATCTGTGAGACAACCAGTATAGTGCAGGGATTAAATTTTTGATGAGACAAGGCCTGATGAGTTTATATCCACCACTGCCCCCAGAAACTCAGTCGGACCAATAATTTTCTCTTAGCTCAACCTATCTCACAGGGTCGTTGTTGTGGGGGAAAAACTGGAAGAGGGAATGCTACATATGCCACCTTTGTCTTCTGGAGGAAAGGCAGACTGCTGCATAAATCTAACAAATACTGTATTTTTCCGAGTATTTTGAATAAGATTTTGAAGAGGCAAATTAAAAAAAAAAAGTTTTTGCACTCTGCAGACCTCCCAAAAACGGGCGTGGTTTTTGTCAAAAAAAAAAAAGGGCGTGCATAGCCTTTATGAGGCTTCCAGAGTGCTCCTGGGGGCGGGGTGGGGGACAAAAATGAGCAAGAGACAGCCCGGTTTTTGCTCATTTTTGCCATCCCCAGCCCTCAGGAGCACTCTGGAAGCCACCTAAAGGGTATGCACAGCCATTTTTGCAAAGGGGGCGGGGTTTCGGGAGACCAAAAATGCTGTATAAGACGCACCCAGATTTTCAGCCTCTTTTTTGAGGGAAAGGGGTGCGTCTTATACTCTGAAAAATACAGTACATAACAAATAAACAAACGTTGCAATCCTTTGCTAACACACATTGAGGCCACAACTAAGTACAAGGTGCGGGGTCATTGGTGCTCTCTTGAGTTTGGTTGTTTTCTTGCAAGCCCAAAGAGCATCAAGGATTCCTCATTTCAACCTGCAAACATTCTCCTTTATTGGTATTTACAATGTCTCAGGTCAAATGTGACAGAACTAAAATCATGTGCAGGGCATCCATCCCATGCATCAAGACAACAACTGAAGCTCTAAGAAGAAACATCTCGAAACCTGTCAATTTTCCATCTTCTCCGGAGCAACCAGTTTAGTGAAGAAAGAGGAACCGCTCCTCCAATGCCTCTTTTATTTCTTGAATTAGATATCAGGCACACAGCTGCTGAACAGTAAGATGACAGTGTACAGTTTTTTAAAATGACCCCCTGAAATAAAACTACTGTCTCCCAAGTATTGTGGATGAAACTATTTTTAATTGTCCAGTTGGAGAAAGCACGGAAATAGAAAGTAAGTAGGATCCAATCTGGGTCGGTCATCAGAACCAGAGATTTTGCCTTCCTAGCTTTCGGACTCATGTTGGAGCCCACCTTCAGGGAACTTTTCTTCAACTAGAGAGAAGGTCCCTAAAAATGGGCTCCAGCAGAGTTCGAAAGCTCGGAAGGCAAAATCTCTAGCCCTGATGACTGACCCAAACTGGTTCCTGCAATGTTGTCTGGGACACATATATTTGCCTTCATTTGTATAGAAAGTAAGGTCCAAGAAAGCCAAAGGCATTTGTTGAAGATGCTTGATGAAAACACCAAGAATTAGATATTTCTATATTTATTTGTTGGTTTTCAAAGTAAGATGGGGGAGTTTTATACAGGAACTTATAATGATGGTAATGTACTCACTTCTAGACATAGTTTCTAAAGGATATGGAAAGAAGTAATGGTAAATGTGGGACATTGTACAGTACATCAAGAGAACATAATGTCAAACTGGAGAAGAAAGAGACTTCATCATAGAGTCACAGCAACTAATCATACTTGGCATCCACATTAATTCAGTACTGTAGCACTAGAGAAAATCCTGAAGGGGAAACTTAAATTAGGAAGGAACCTAAAGGAGAAATCATTCCAGCAATTTAATATGAGGATAAAACAAATGTATACTTAAAATTTGAAAACTCTTTCATTGAAAGGGCTTACCAAAAATCCTGAGGAAATGTAGCACTTTAAGATGAGGAAAACTCCTCTTATGAAGGAATATTCGAGTTAGGAGAAAAAAAATAGACGATGCAGCTTTTGCAAGAGAATGATGTAAATAAGAAAAGAAACTACCAAACCTCAGTATTGGAACTAGTACTTTCTAAGTTGTTCAAAATGATCCAAACAAAAAGAACATGCAATTAGATGGTTCATATTTGCTGATGACAAAATAGTAAAATATAACAAAGGGGGAAAAATAGCGACTCAATTCTTATTTTGCCTCAGTTTTCTCCAGTAAGAGGAAAATTATGCCACCAGAATGGGATGAGACAGGTGGATTAAAGTTTGAATTGTATAGAAAAATAATCAGAACACTCATTTACCTGGAATGAGTTTAAAATATCTAGGATCAAATGAACTGCATCTGAACAAACTAAGGGTCTGCCCAAATCTTTAGGTATCACCTTTGAGAAATCCTGTTGGTTAATTGTTCTGAGTAATTTATTAGGAGAAGGCTAAATGACACGACTGTTAAGTGGATACACTGCTGGCTCAATAAGAATTCACATAGGGTGATTTTCCTCCTTAAATTAGAGGGGAGAATCAGCAAGGTGTCACAAGGTGCAGCTCTATCCCCCCCCCCGCCCCCGGTCCCGACAATTGAATCATTTGGATGAAGAAATATAGGGTATCCTTATTCAAATTTGCAGATGGATGAACTACATGCTGTATACAAGGAGAAATAAAATTCAAAACTATCTTGGTGGGTTAGAAAACCTGAAACAGAATGCAATTCATCAGACAGAAATGCAAAATCATGTACTTAGGTAATGAAATTCTTATGCAGAGGCCTAGAATGGAGCAAAATTATCTGTGGAAAAAGGTATTGGAATAATAACTATTCTACTTTATTCTATGTAGACCAGACCTCCTCCTTGAATATTTTTAATTCTGAGCATCACATTTGGAA